AGATCCGCTCGGGTGCCACCGCGCCACCAACGGGCGCAGCTAGCAGTGCCAGCTTCAGAAGGCAACTGAGCATGCGCGGGGGAGCTTTGCCTTGGGAGTTAGAGGGGGCTGTGATTGCTTGAGGGGGGTCCTTGCCAGCAGTTTGCCTCTCTAGGAAGCAGCGCTCTGTACCCTTAACCCTGGAGATGGCACATCGGGAGGAGGAGGACGTTGCAGCCGCGGGTGTGGGTGGAGGTCCGTCTGCAGACCCTCCTGGAGGGCGGGAGGCGGTCCTGTCCCGCTTGCAAGGAAAAGCCCTTCTCTTTCCATGGGGCAGGGACCCCCTGCTTGCCTGCAGACCCGGGAGAGGAGGGGCTGCGCTGGGGAAGCCCTCCCCCTCCACTGCTTGGGGGTCTGGGGGATCCTGAAAGGAGGGGGTGGCTGCAGGGGCTCTGTGCCCTGGAAACTGCAAGCGAATCGGGAGCCGGGGGAGGGCAGCCCCTGATGGTGCCTTTCTTCGGGGGAGGGGAGAAGAAGGAAAAGGGCCCTGATGGGGACTCTTCCCACATTTCTGGTCCTCTCTCAGGGTCAGCAGATTTGATCGCACTGAGGTGTTTGGATCTTCAGAGAAGATGGAGGGCAAAGAGTCAACTGGAAAAATAGGTTGCGATGCTCATGGCGAGAGCCGGGTGAAATTGGGCCAGAGGACTGGGCAAAAAAAAGATTTGCTTGGGACGTCCGGCACTGGCACTTCAGTGGATTGTGCTACCAGGAAACCTTGGACCTGAGGAGACGGCAGTTGACTCCAACACTTTTTTTTCAGCTCTCCTGTATTATGCAGGATTTGCACACACAGAGTTAAAGAAGTTGCTGAGGAAAAGTATTTATGTCTATATTGTCAATGGTCAGCCCCACCCCCTCATATGTTTGGGTTACTTGACAGCACACTTTCGTTAAGGATAAGGTGACTGAAGGTTATGTCTATGTTTGGAGATCTGGAGTCACCACCTGGTCAAAAAAACCCTACTTTTCCTTTTGATATTTTCAGGGAGGAAACTAATCCTGTTTCCAAGGCTGCTGCTGCTCCTCATTCTCAGTATCAACTGGACCAGCTCCTTGTTCAAAGCCTTGGATAAATTCCTGCATATCCTCATGAAGTGATGGTGTAAGAATCACTGGGCCTGTTGCACAGAGCCTGAGACATAACCGTGTGCCACACTAGAAGCTGTGAATGCTGAATTAAAATATTGGAGAGGCAGTACATGGAGGTACAAATTTGGGATGCAACATGTCTATACCTAAGTAAGGTACCAAAGAAACCCATTTTCTCATCTATCTGAGAGCAGTAAACGAGGCTGTGGTATGAGACCACCACCCTGTACCACCCAGGTGGCATTATTTGCAATGCTATGCAAGGGGCATTTGGCTAAATTAGATGCCACCAAAGGTTTGGGCAAGTATAGTTGGCGCCAGAATCTCACCATCTGATCACCATTATAACAAAAGTGATGATTATAAGTTTTTTCAAAGTTCCACCACCATTTCCGATCTTTGGAAGATTGCAGGCTGCCTCGCGAGGCTTTGAAGCCTTCCAAAGCCTCGCTTTTACATATTCCTCCTTACATTTTTTTCTCTTGCTTCCTTCTTGTAGTTTTTCCTCCTTTTCCTGACCAGCTGACACCACCATACCAAGCCAGGAATGGCTTGCATAGGGGTGGGCCCTCACCTAACAGCCGTGCGAGGAGGACCTTGAGCCAAGGGGGGAGGCGGCTTGGGCCTCGGGAGATGAAACTCCAGAAGAGGCGCCCGGAGTGCTCCCGGAGGAAGTCCAAGATCTCAGCCGAACCTCTCATCGGACGCTCAGAAAAGGCCGTGGGCGCCCTCTGGAGCCCAGCTGTGGAAGGACAGCCTGCCCGGCAGATTATAAGCCCCTGCGCTTCTTCCACGCCTTCTTTCTTAGCCGTCCCCCATTATTAGGACGACCCAGCTGCCAATCAGACAGCAGCGACCAATCAGACAGCAGCACTGGGCAGACGGGGGAGGAGGAGGGAAGAGGGGGTTCTGCCGCCGCAGGCCTCACGAGGAAGAGGCTGAATACGCAGAGCCAAAGTAAGGGATGCAGTTAAAAGATAGACTGCCCTGATGAGGAGAGGCAGCCGCCGAGAAGCCTGGGGGGAGAGGGGCGTTTCTTGTCTCCCCTAAGAACCGGCGCGAGGGAAGAGTCTCCCTCAGAGGCAGCCGAGAGTGTGGAAAGGAGGAGAGTCCGGGAGCCCAGCCGGGGAGAAACCGGCAGAAAAGACGAAGAAAAAATTAAAGACTTTGACAGG